TATCTCTTGTGCAGCAGCCACACAGACTAGACACATAACAAGAGTCAGAAATGGAACCAGGGTTGCAAGAAAGAAACTAATTTGCAGGAGATGCCCCAAAAGTACAGTTACATTTGCAGTTTTTGAAAGAAATAGAAAAGAAAAAAAGGGGAAAGGGGGGTAAAGGAAAAGAATAAGAAGCCTGACAAATAAAGCCGTTAAGTAAAACTAAAAAAATAATAATTTTAGAGAACATTTTTGTCAGAAATGCATCCTAAAGTGCTGTGGTTCATACTAGAGAATCAGAGCAGAGGCATAACAAATCCTGCCCTGGATTTAAGGGGGTCATGGTGGTTCTAAGGGTTTCTGTTTCCATTGACAGCCCTGATTTTCAGTGTAAGTGCACCATCCTGCAAGAGCAACAAGAAAGCTTGAGGTTTAACAGTATGAACTCTTCTCAAAGCTCTCCTTTGTGTGTGTATCCAAAACCAAAGATAAGCTCACCTGCAGCAAATCCTGCTCCCATTTCCACTTCCACCTTTCATCATGACTTGCCAGGCACAGTTAGATTAGCAAAATACCTGAATAACTGGAAAGAATGCCGGCACTTTCTGCCCAGAGTAGAAGTGGGAGGCGATGTAAGAAAGTTTGAGTCGTGAGCAGAGCTACTCAGAAGCTATTTTGCTTTTCTGTGAAGAGGGATGTATTTAAATTTCAGGTGAGGATGAACGATGGAGAAGAGCAGTGTGAACGATGGAGAAGAGCAGTGTTCTGAGCGGGGAATGGGGCGAGGGAAGAGGGATGTGTTTATATTTCAGGTGAGGATGAGCGATGGAGAAGAGCGGTGTTCTGGGCGGGGATGCGGCGGGGAAGAGGGATGTTTTTTTTATCTCAGGTGAGGATGAGCGATGGAGAAGAGCGGTGTTCTGAGCGGGGGAAGAGGGATGTGTTTATATCTCAGGTGAGGATGAGCGATGGAGAAGAGCGGTGTTCTGGGCGGGGATGCGGCGGGGGAAGCGCAGGGAGCCGCAGGGAGGGCCGAGCGCAGCTGCCGCACTCAGGGAGCGGCGGGGGGTGGATGCGCTCGCCGCCGCACCCGCTAATTCTGCCCCTCGGCATCAATCGCTCGCTGATTTATAATCAAATGAACGCTTCCGCTCGCCGAGGAAGGGCTGGCCCCTTTGGCCAGGCTCTGCCAGGGTGCTCGCACGGTCCTTGTGCACAGCCGTCGGTGAGGAAGAGCAAGGCTGTGCTCGGAGCTGCCTCTCCATCCGCCGCTGCCCAAAACCACAGCGGGGCCGCCTTATGGTCTGTAGCCGCGGCTTCCAGAGCAGGGATTGTGTCCCAAGAGGAGCTGCGGTGAGCCTCAAAGACCTGCAGGCGCTTTTGCTACTGGAAGAAATCTTTAAAGACCCTCTTAAAAAGTAGTCAAGGGCACAAAATATTTTAAACAGCCAGTGGAAAATCAAACCGTGTAGTGACGACAGTGTCTCTTTTAACTTTTATAAGTGAAAAGCTTGGTATCCTGCTGGCCAAAACTGAGCAGGACCTTAGCTGGAGGCCTGGCTCTTGGTCATTTAGGTCTTACTAAAGCATCCAGAAGAGAGAAAATATCAAATTAGAGTTTTACCAGCAATCAGAATTTCTGCCCACATCTCTGTATTAATAACAAATGTGAGTCTTTACACTGATGTCAAACAGCATTTGGTGAATCACTAATCCTTATGAAATTTTGCTGACAAAGGTGTCAGAAGAGAGAAACAACAAAAGATGAGATCTGGCAAACCAAGCATCTCACTAGAGCTCTCGTAATGCAAATCTGGCCGCAGGTCTGGGGCACAGCAAGCATAAATATCCCCTAAATATCGCCACCAAGGAGCCAGAGCAGGGCCTGCTGCTCAGCTGATGCCACCCCAATTGCCATATGCTGGAAGTGCTTCTGCAGCAGCTGGCTGGATTTCTGGAGGACTGTGTTGCAGGAGTGAGAACCCAACACAATACTTGGTCATTCTGAACCAGTGTTGTCAACAGCCTGTTGTTAAACAGAGAGAGATGGTCCTTATTTTCCTTTTTAGCATTTTGAGTAAGACGTTTAGAAAACTTGGCACTTTGGGGATTTCCTCATGCTATCATTTGAGCAACATTTTATTAATCTTTTTATAGGGTCTTGATTAAGTTTGAGGACTAGGAAGTGAATTTCAATCTCTTTTTCATAACAAAATCCATATTTTTAGGATCAAATGTGGATGTGGGTGAAAAATTTGTTCAGTGCATAACAAAATCTCATCCTATTAAAAAAAAGATAAAGAATGAATGTGAGTTTCCAGCAGGACAGTTTTTGTTCCAGTTTCCCTCGTGCAATGAATTAATGCTTATATTTAGCTCTCTCCTGTTCACTCAGAGTTGTACGAGACAGTAGTATCTGTTTTGAAAACAGGCAAAAGAAAATAATTTCTCTGCAATTCAGCATCTGGTTTTAATTATTCTAATATCTTTACAGATTGAGTCTCTGAAGTTCCTTTGTGCTGGATGAAAAGGTCTTCCTGTGTGTGATTTATTCAGTGATGAAGTTTGTTCTTTCTGATTATCCCTCCTATTTTTGAAAATCATATTTCTGATGTGCTGTCTAGAATAAATTTCAAACTGTTAGTACCCATCTAGGGAGAACAGAATCGTTCATTTCATAACAAACCTATTTTTGTTCCTAGTTGTGTTTGTAATGGAATAGGAAACAGTGCTCCTGTTTTCTGCTGAGTGTACTTCAAGCCATCCTTCATAATGAAGCATGGGTCTGATTCACTGCTCCTGTTTTTCCAGCTGGAGAGTCAGCCTACACTGCCTGTTAACATGAAGGTACATCTACATGGATACATTTTTTACTCAAAATCATTGCTGTAAACCAGAACAAGATGACTGCCAAATAAGCCTGTGTCTGTGTTAATTGGACTATCACATTAAACCCACAGAGAAGGAGCATTTGAAACAAAGATCACAAAAATATCGGATTTCTCCACTGACTCCTTCCAGCCCAGATGAGCTGTTAATGTCACTAATTGGCCAGCCTGCAATCCAGTGCAGTCCTGAGAGGGGAGATGGAAAGGCCATAACCAGGGTGCTTATGGAAAAAAAAAAAATGCCACTCCTCACATTTCAGCTAATCTATAGCTCTAAATTTCAATTATCCATTCCAGTAATGGGATGACTGCTTGCATTCAGTAATGAACCAGAAACCAGGAACTTAATGTTCTCATCTGCCAGGCAGTTTTTCTGACTTTTAGACCAATTGACAGCAGCTATAAAAGCATTATAAAATATGGCACGATTTAATAGATGCAGCTTTCATCTACCTCAACGTTGTTCAAAATAGCTTTAGTTAGATATAATTATCCAAATAGGGGAATGTCAAACTTTATCAGCCAGGGTCCACTACTGAAGAAGCTTTTTTGTGAATACCTAGAATTTGACGTTTGTTCTTCTGTTTTCAAATAAATCGAGAGTGCTAAAAACACGTGTATTTTTTCAAAGTTCAATCAGAAACAGATTTAACTGAATGACACATCTAATGTAACTGGAGAATGATACATCACCATAAATGAACCTTCCATCACTTCAGGTAGGAACTCAGCAAAATGAAATAATCTATTAAATTTATATATTTTTAATAATGTATTTGAAAGCCTGCTGGAGTTTCAGAAGATCAATAAATTGTTTGGGGATTTGGGGCTTTTTTAGAAGGCAATGTTGGTGAAAAAGACACATGGTCCTATAGATCTCATTTTTTCATTTTTAAATACATTTGAGGTATAGCAACCCTTTTAAAAAGTTCTTATTTTCGTGTTTTCATCTTAGATGCCTTTAGCATCCTTTAGCATTCAGGCTTTTAAAATCAGATTCTCACAGAATTTCAATGAGATTTTTGACTATAGTAATTTTGGAAATTAAAGTCAAAAATTAAACACTGAAGATACTTGAGACTTTTCCTGGGTGGTGGAGGATTTTTTTTTTATTTGGTGTGTGTGTGATTTTTGTGTAACTAATAACCAAAGGGCGAGTTGTAAGAGGATGCCATGAATTAGTGTAAATCATTATCCAATTACATTCAACTTATCTCACACAAATTTTTTTTCACCTGTTATTTGAATTCATGCTATCTTTAAATACAGTATGACTTCCTCTTGATTTAACTAACCAGTTCCACAACAAGCCACAGGCTCTCTGATGACTTCTGGTTTGTGACAGGGCAGTCACTGCAGAATAACTTTATTTCAAAATCAAGAGAAGCTCCTTAAAAATATAAAGTCCAGACAAGTGTTTCATTTGTAGGCATATATTTTACTAGATTAACTGAAAAACTGGACAAGCTAATGACTTCCAAAAGCTAAACACAAGCTGAGAAAACTATTCAAAGTTTCACTGTACATATACAAGCTGGAACAACCGAAAGCTGGTAGCTGGCATTTGTGCAGCAAAGGCAGAGGGTGGGAGATGATCAGCTAGCTATCTCCTAGGGAAAGCAGCTAGAAAAATAATTTATAACCGATAAAGGGAGGTTACAAAACTGGACACAAAACCAGTATCTCAGATATAACCACCTTTTTTTCATTATTTCTAATTACTAATTATTTCATTATTACTAATGAAATTTTCATTCCCAGATCTGTCTTTCAAAATTACTTGTAGTTTTCCCTGGAGGAGCAGGACTGAGAGATTAGAGATGAAGTGGCTGCTCTGCAAGAAGCGTGTCCACAGGCCCTGGGGTGTTCCTCCTCTAGCAAAGGCGGCGGCCGCAGGTTCCAGCCTGGGCCCCCATGGTGGCTGAGGCTCCTCAGCTGAGCACAATCCCAAGTGCTGGGATGTGCCAGTGTGAGGTGTGGGAGAGCTTTCACTGCTGGCATTAACCTCCCTCTCTGCCACTTGCTCCAGGGCACACAGCAGAAATAAAATACTATGAGGCATGAACTCAGTGGCAGAGGCAGATGAAATCTAATTTCCTTGATTTTAAAGGCCTTGATGGTAAGCAAGGTGCAAAAAAGATCTCCATCACACGGTGGGGGGTGGAAATGAGAGATCTCAGAGGATCTGCTCTTTTGGCCATTTCTGTTACCAGATTCCCATGGCTCATTTTTATTTAAAAGTGGATTTTCTGAGAACTGGAATAGACCAGGGACTTTGGCAGAAGCCAAATAAAACTAGGTGAATGGGGAGTGACAGTAATGATTTTTCAGCAGTGACAAATTACTTCAAGCAGGGATAAAAGCAAGAAAATTGGAAGAAATGCTTTGACGCAAAGTAAGAGCATACAAATTGTAAGCATCCTTTTGGACATCTCACTGGAAAACTCTGTGTGACAGCAGGTAAAAAAAGGCTGGAGAAAAACTAGTCTGGCTCTCAGTCTGAGACCTGAGAGTGGCTGGAAGATTGGTAAAATGTCAAGATGAAAAGTAATGATATATTGTTTTACAGGCTTAAATGTACTGGTGTGGCTATGGATACAAGCCTGTGCCACTCTGTGGCCTTTAAAAATGTACATCCATTACTCAGCAGCCTCACCCACCCACTGTGTCTTCTGGTTGTTACAGTCCTTCATTGGGTTTCAGTTCACTTGTAAGATCTCAAGGTAAAAGCTCTGATCAGGTTTGAAGTCTGACTGGGTTTTCCTCTGGATGAAATATCAGGAGCCTTTTTCAGTAAGTCTTGTAGTTACTTTAAAAAGGAATGTTTGTTTTCAGACTACATTTGAAGGCTAAAACCTATATTTCTTTTGAATTCAAGAGCCTTCTGATGTGTTTGGCACCTTAAATCCTTCCAGGGAGGCTAAATACCTGCACAAAACATGCAGGTTGGAACACCACTAGAAACAGAGCCCACACCACACAAGAAAAAGAGTAATTCCATATGGCTGGGTAGAAAGGACAGTCCAAATTAAAAAGACTAAGACGTTTCAAGTGGAAGAAAGTGACACCACAGGCTCAGAAGATTCCTGGGTGAGAAATGCCTTTTTTTTTTTTTATTATCCCACTCTTTTCCACACATAGCACATCTACTGCCTGTATTGAACCACTGCCTTTTAACCTCAGCCCTTATGAAACCTCTGAGGCAGTAAATTCAGGAAGATGAACCAGCAACTTTAATTAGGTATCATACATATTGCTTTCTTAGTCTGTGATTCCTTTTCTCAGTCATACTGATTCCCATTTAGAGGAAATTTTACTGCATTCTTGTTTCCTAGTTTGGGAAGACTTTGCAAGATCAGCAGCTGTTTGAAGCCATATACCCAGGAGTTTAGGAAAGGTGAGAAGAGGCAGCTCCTCAAGCAGTGGCACAGTTAGCATTCATGGAAGCACCACAGAGGATGGTGACAAGACATCCTTCCTCTCAGATCACCCATTTGGCAGGGCTTGGATAGCTTGAAGGCCTCTAAGAGGAACATCTCTCAGATGTTTCTGATCAGACCTTTGCTGTGAAGAGGAAGCTGGAAGCCTGGATGCCCTGGGATCTTCAGCATGAGTTTCGCAGTGCCCCATCAGCAGCTTCACTTCCATTGCCAAAAGCAGGGATGGGCACAAGCTGAGAAGATCCAGTGCTGTGCAGTGATGTGTAACTCAGGGGAGAGCACCTGGAGGCCAGACACCAGCACAGGCAGGTCCTTGGAAGGGCCTGGAGCCATCCCCAAGCCATTACTGAAGAGATGACTAACACATGCTGAGTGGGAACACAGAGCAGCCCTTACAGCTGGGACTGAAAACCAGAGAGCAGCTGTAAGAAGTGAAGGAAAAGCAGGGTTTTGCTCTGCATCCACAAGCAGTGACTTCCAGCAAAAAATGGAAACAGTCGTATATGTGGCAACAGGGAACTCTGAAGTGCGGGATGTGTTAATGACCTCAAGAGGCAAATTGGAACTATAGTGCAGAGCTGAGGTACTGACTTCTGTGTAACAAGTAAAATATGTGGGAAATGCTTTTGGTCAGAGGACAAAGCAGAAAACAAGACTGACTTTGTGATCCAGTGGGGAGGGCAGTTCATTCACACTTTTCTTACAGATTCCCTTCATCTTCCTGTGTTGCCAGCTCTGTTTTGTGGGGTTGTTGGAGAAAAAAAATGTGCTACTCACATATCCAAATTTTTTCCATCAGTTTGGTCTTTAAGGACTCATGTGCAAGTCCATCTGCACATCTCCCCGCTTTGGTGTGACTCTTCATGCCCATAAACCTTTTCTCTGGAACCTTTTCTCTGAATGTCCAAAGTCTATCTTGACTGTCTCTTCACAGGGTCAAATGGGATCTATTACCATTAAAAGAAAACTACATACAGTTTATTATGAGACTCAGGTGTCCCTTCACCCCCAGCTGGAAACCCTTATGTTAATAATTTATTTTTTTTTTTTTAATTGACCTCCTTGGTGAAATATTAATGATAGGTGTATTTATTCTCCTGCCATGATCAACCACTAAGAACACAAAAGTCAAGGCCAAGCAAAGAGAAATGTATTTCAATATTTACCTTGGAGGTGACAGAAAATTATCAGTGAAGAGTTCTCTTCCAATTAATGTTATCACTTCTATTGCAAACAGCGAATGGCAGCAATGCTTTTACAAACTGTAAAGCCTTGGTCTAATTAACACTCACAATCAACTCTAAACTCCTATTCCTTGTAAATTATTAGAATAAATGTGACAACAAAAAATCACTAGACCTTCACTGGGTAATCAAACTGTGAGTGATGAGCAGCCCTTGATACTGCTTTTCAGACCGCCTTGATTGCTTTTGGGATGGATTAAAAATATTAGTAGATGGCAAAAAAGTGGTGGGTGTCATGCTCAAATTGCAGCAAGGCATTTTATAGCACATAAATACTGTGTTCCAAATTCACTTTGAATTGGATATGAGCATTCCCACACGAGTTGTAATGTGACTGAGAGGTCACTGATAACAAAGGGAGGGGACAAGTCATCCCAGGGAAAGTGTTTGGATCTGAAGAGAGAACCAAGTTAGGCTCCAGGTTATGCATGGGCCCAGTGCAAGATGTGGCACCTATTTTCTGTCCTTGCCATGAGGAGGGGGGAGGTAAAGGAAGTAACTCTCTTGCTGTCTTAATCTGCCAGGAGGTAAAGGCTCCCAGGGACTGACTCATTAGAGAGAGGAGAAGAAAAAGTCCTCGCCTTAAGCTATATTTAAAAATAAAATAAGGCTAATTAAAACTTTTCTGGCCCAAAATCTAAAATTATCCCATGGAATTTGGAGATCTAAAAATACAAGCCACTTGCTGTGTAAACATTGCAGTGTAACACAGTGAGAGCTGCTTTCCTGCAACAGCCAGGGTTGTCAGTGTGGTGGCAAACAGAGGAGCTGCTACTATGCAACAAGAAATTGGGAATTACTTAAAGCTGAAAAATTATGGAATTATATTACTCTACCTGCAGTGATAAGATATGAAAATACAGTGAACACTCATGTGACTGTAATACATCAGCTCATGAGAGAGCCAACTTCAATCTGAGAAATAGTAATACATTCCTCAGGACACAATGATCTAAGAAAAAGAAACCATGAGCTGAAAGAGTCTTGTGAATTTGCAGGCTAACTCACAGGGAAATGAAAGCCATTATACTGCAAATATTCATGAGCTTGCTGAGTTTTACATATGAGAGTCTTCCTGTATTAATCTTTTCTCTAAACTTATTTAGCAGAGTGATAAATTTTCAGCCAAGAGCACATTGAACTATTCATTTTAAATACACAGGATAATGAATTTAATCTTCCTCTTCTGAATCAGGCATAAACAGATCCTGATTTGTCAGAGAAATTGTTGTCCTGAAGAGTAAGCAAAAAAATTAGAACAGTTTTCTGGCTAATTGCCTTTTCCCAAACCACTTGCTTCAGGAGCCTCCTTTTTGTGGGTTGTTCCTGATGACATGCCCCTGAATAGTACCAATCTCATTCCCTGGAGGCTGGCTGAAGGTCTTGGGGTGAGAAAGTAAGGAGCAGTGAGTGCTCTTGCTCACTGAGCAGCACTGGTGGGAAAAGCCCCTGCTCCTCTCAGTGGCTGGCAGGAAAAGAAGCAGCAGCCTGAGAGGCAGTTCTGGAGGCAGAGCTGACAGCCAGGGCACTCCTGCAGCTCCTGCAGGAGCCCTCCATGCACAGGGATGGGCATCAGATAGGATGTCCCTGGAGCAGCCAGGGCACTGTCCCACATGCTCTGGCAGAGCAGAGGGCTGTGTGTGGGAGCTGTGCTTTCACACTGCTTTGGGGGGAAGTTTGTTCATTTACTTGAAATGGAAACATTTGATCGTGTCTTGCATAAGTAATTCCCTTGCACTCCCCCACCAGCAGTGGCAGTGGGCAGCTTTAAAGCCAAATCATAGGAGAAGTAGAGTGGTGGCAGACAGCAATCATGCCCCCACCTCTTCCCAAGTACGGCTATTTGAGCAAGGCTCTCTCTCTGTATCCCATTTTCTCAGATGGGTCTGTCTCTCTCTCCGCTGCAGATCACTACTCTCTGTGAGCAATCACAGGCTGTTTCCTCTCCACACTCCAGAAGCTCTCTGGACTGTCAGTGTTTTAGTCCCAACTTCTTGAGAAACTGAAGAAAAACAATACCATGACCATAAACCACTGAGTAAATCTCTTGAATGTCCCAAGAATCACTTCATTTTCACAAGAAAACAATTGTCCTACTCAGAATACCCTCTTGGCAAGCCAACTTGATGCTGAGTTCAAATTATATAAATATGACAAGTTTTCTATAATTTATATAAAGCACATGAGTTGAAGTTCCTTGGCCAATTGAATGTCTGGTGTGTACTTCTATTTCATTAACAAATTAATCTGTTGTTTAGGAGAATCAGTAATCAATTTGAGAGCAGAAAGCTCATTACACTCATTAAACTTGGTATGATTTGCGACAAGGAATGAGGCTTCCATTTATCAGATGCCAGCTGAAAGAAAGCCAGAGCACTTCAGAAAGATTAGTCAAAATGTCCCAGACCCTTAACAACTTCTTAGAGAGCAAAGGAAAGTTTTTTGAGAGGCTCTCCCCTGTGTGAACTTCTTATTAAAGAGCATGTGGCAGAGTTCCAGGTATTTAAGTGCTCAAAATTACCCCTGAACACACTCACTCTTAACCAATCTGATGCTTTCTGACGTCTAAGAAACATCTACATTCCTTACTGCACTAAGGCCAGCTGTTCCACAAGCATCCACTCTTGGCTGGAACCTTGGATTTATGACTTATTATTATCCATGGCTCCATAAGATTGCATAAGGATCCACATCAACTGCACAGACTGGGGCTCATTAACCATTTGTTTTGGAACAAGATTTTTGCAAATATTTGAATTTATATATTCTTATTTATATATTATAAATATATGTTATATTATTATAGATAATATATATTATATATTATATACTATATAGTATATAATATATACTATATAATATAGATGTCTATTATTATGTCTATTTATATATCCTTAAGTACTCCTTACTCGTCAGCAAGGCCAACTACTGACTGTAAATATTATGACTATATTATCTTTATTTTAATTCAGGGAAAATTTTAGCTGCCTTTAGAAATATTGTGACTCCTTCTTCTCCATTTCTTTTCTTTAGGAAAACAGTGTCCACTCACTGAATAGTACCTGCTTAAATAAATTGCCTAACTCCTACAAGACCAAAACACTGCAGGACCTGGTAGCAGAGAAACAAGAAGTCATCCCTACAGGAACTTGTTTCCTGCTATGACTTGGTTACAGGCCTTGTGATTGATTTCTTCACTGATTCTGCACACATGCACAGCGCTGTCTCCCTTTGCACTTCGAATAAGCCATTCCCAAGGCACAGAAGTCTTCTTGAGTTTCTGTTTCCCCTTTTTCTTTTCTCTGTAAGGCTTATGCTTTTTGTAGTGCATGATAAAGACAGGCTTTCCTCCTTCAGAGGTGATTAAGCTCTTCAATCACTCTCTACAGTAAAACAGGTCCTAAGGCAAAAAGTTTGTTTATGTGTGTTTTCTCATCTCTGCTTTCTCTCATCATGCAAAGTCCTAAGCGTCTCATCCTGATTAACACAGCTGTGAGCAAACTGTTGCCATCCACAGCAGCTGTGTCTGTCCATACTTCACGGTCAGAGGACAAAAGCTGACTCGAAAAACCCTTGCAGTTTGTTTTGCCTGTACCTCACTGCCTTATTTGTATGCCAAATTTTATCCCAAGTGCAAGCGAGAACTGAGGAGAGAGTTAATATCATCTGAACAATATTCCCAGCACTCATGTGTGTGCTGCAGCCCCCCCAGCAGCACTCCTCTGTCTCCCCAAGCCATCAGAACACAGCTGCCAGGGGTTTGGGTCAGCAGGACCCTGTAGAGCCCCAAAAGAGAATGAGAAGGCTGTTCTGGCTAAGGACATCTCGCATTTGAGAAATATTTTGCTGTGAGAAGTCCTCAGGATTTTTCCATCTTCACCTCTGAGGTCAAAAAGTCAACAATGGAGCTAACAAGATGGAGAGAGAACCTGGGCTCCCACCCAAAGTCCACCAAAGGGGTTTATATGCACAGGGGGTTCAAGGGTTTCAAATAGCCTCACCCAGGACTCTGCTGAACACAAGATTGCCTCAAGCCCCAGCAATGTCTGGGTAAGAGAAGAGTATTCTACCCTTAAACTTAAATCATTTGAGCTACAATTCACCTTCAAATATAACAATTAAAGTTAGCATGATGAAAAGTGTGCGCTTAAAACAACAGGGAGAAAATTGCTACCATGAGACCAAAATGCTCCTAAAACTTGCACTTTGCAACACCTGAAACATTTCTTCTTGAGACTGTTCATCTCATTTAGCTGGGATTTGTGAGATAGAAATCACCTGCTCTAGTTCAGCAAAGGTGTCAATAGAGGCTCCTAAGTACTCCTGGACTGCTAAGAAATACATTTTGATTCTAAAAAGAAATATCCCTTTGTGTCCTTTGGAAGATCACCCCAGTGTTTCATCAGAAAAAAAAACAAGTCTAAATAAGTGCAAGTATTCTTTAGCAGATAATGAGGAAAATCTTCCTCCAGTACAAACTGAAAAGCCCAGTGTAAAGAATGAGCCTGAGTGGGCTGGAGCAGTTAGAGGAGGTGGCTTTTAGTGGAAGATCAAAGTCTGGGGAGTGGATCACTGCAAGATGTTCCTCCATCTCAGCAGTTCCCATTTGCAACCTCGCTGCACAGCCATGGACATTTTGCAGCGACCACCCACAGGACTGAAGGAGCTGAACCTTTGCACAGCTAAAGAGGCAAACCCAGCACTGAGAGCAGTGCTGAATCCATCTGCATTT